CTACTCTACCAGGATCAGGAAACAGTCCTCCATAAAATGTGCTGCACACATCTGAATATTTGGGTTGAACTGTTCTGGAACAGTGTTGTAAATGCAACTTAAAGGGATAGTTCACCCAAAAATGAAAATTAGCTTTACAGCGGATCGCAGACTTATAAGTGCATTACCGCGACCTATCTCTCAAGTGGACCATTGACACTCCTAATTGAGATTGTAGATTGAGAGTGTCAATGGCGGATTCGACGAAGGAGCGTCCGGCGGGCTTGTGGCAACCACATGTGACGACACTCTTAACTTTTATAAAGAATAGCTCTTTGGATTTGAGACTTTAGTCTTTGCAACTTTACAGATATTCTTTATGCACCAAGAGCTTGTAACACTCCAAAGAGAAAGGAAAAATTGAAATCGCATCATATGACCCCTTTAATTAATTAGTTATGAAAAATAACGCGATTAAAACATTTTAGCGCAGTTAATGCACTGGCCCCGCCCCCAGACCTGTACCTCATTTTACATTCCTATATTATACAGTTGACAAATATGATGCAGGGCAACAACTTCATGAATGCAATTATGGCCTAAAAATCAAGATATTGGGGCAAAAATGCTCCTGTATGAGTTTTTGTCTCATATTTATATCACATGATAAGCGATATCACACGAGCAGTAAGAGCAATCACAGGAATGCTGTTTGTCCTGAATATAACGAGTGTAAATGTGATTTTACACAACAGTTCAGTAAATAATAAGTTAATATTGTTATATTTTAAACACAATATATTCAGTTTTGCCAACAAAAATATTACCTATAAAGCCACTGCAGAATTGTTGCGCGTCTGTGAGCAACACAGCGGTGTTTAGTTTCAGAATGAATCTGCGTTTTGAATGAATCGTGTGAATCAATGATTCAAAGACCCATTCATAAAGAGAGCCATTTACTGAATTCCCGAATGAATCAACCGTTTGAATGAATCGAATGCATGAATAAAGACATTTACCGCCACCTGCTGGCAGTAATTTTTAATTATGTCATCATTTACTCAAACCTAAATGACTTACTTTCTTTTGTTGAACATAAAATAAGGTATTTTGAAGACTGTTAGTAACAAAGCTGTTTTGGTTACCAATGACTTCCACTGCATGAACGGAAAAAAAAAACTGAGATGTTTCTCAAATTATCTTTTTTTGTGTTACATAGTTTATGTTAGGCAGTTTTAGCCTAAACATTTATGTGTAATACATTTTATGTTGAATCAAATAAAATATTTATTTCTAAAGATACTATCTGTAATGTCTACTTAATACTTTAACACAAAAATAGCATTAAATAATCTTTTGGGGGTATTTTCACAGCCAAATGTAATTTGCGATTAATTAATCAACACATCATGTAATTAATTAATTAAAGATTTTCATCGACTGACAGTCCTAATATATATATATATATATATATATAGTATATATGTATGTATATACTATATATATATATATATATATGTATGCATGTGTGTATATATGTGTGTGTACAGTATATATATATATATATGTGTGTGTGTGTGTAATGTTTACCCTGTCAAGTTGGGAAAGCACATGTGCTAGTGATGTTAACTAGTTCAGCTTCTCAGGAGTTTTGTTCATCTGTAATCAGAACTGATCACACCTGCCATTCACACTCATCAATCCGCTTCATTACTGATATCAGCTCATCTCCAGCAAACAGTGCAGAGTCTTTGTGTGTCGACTTCCAGTCATTACAGACCTACAGCGCCAATGAGCCGTATCACAAACCCACATCACACTGCTATTGTTCCTGGAGAAATCCGCTTTCAGCGTCTCTCCGATGCCAAGACGTGCATCAGAGCTTCAGCTCGTGTGTCTGTCAGGCTTTGTGCTGTAGTTCATTCATCAGTGTCAGATATCCACCAGATCCAAACGAGCGCCATACATCTTGTGATTCACCAACAATCGTGTCTGGTTTATTTGTGGGTAAACAAATAGCAGAATCAATCTGACAGTCGTTTGAGACATGAATTGCTGTTGAAGACCACAATCACAGTGTTATATGTGCTGATGTCATGTGTTTCTGTGGGAATAACAGAAACCGCACAGTCAGTGTAAGAACTACACAGCATTCTAAAGGGTTAGTTCACTCAATTGATGTTATTGTGGTTTTCCAAACCAGTATGACTTCTGGTTTCAAAACAACAACAGCATTTGACATTGACTTCAGAAGACTTGAAATATGTGACCCTGGACCACAAAACCATTCATAAGGGTCAAGTTTTTGAAATTGAGATTTATACATCATCTGAAAGCTGAATAAATAAGCTTTACATTGATGTATGGTGTCTCAATCGAAATACTGAGAAAATTGCCTTTAAAGCTGACCAAATGAAAGCAATGCATATTACTAATCAAAAATTAAGCTTCGATATATTTACAGTAGGAAATGTACTTCATGGAACATGATCTGTACTACTAATCCTAATTATTTTTGGCGTAAAAGAAAAATCGTTAATTTTGAAAAAAAACCCGTACAGTGTATTGGCCATTGCTACAAATATACCCGTGCTACTTATGACTGCTCTTGAGGTCCAGCGTCACATATAGTACAGTATATAGCATGGTGTAAATTCAGTTAGTTTACATGGTTGACATCAAAGTGGTAAGAAAACCCTAGTTAAGATAGACCAATGAACACCGTTTAATGTTTAAACACAATGGAGAAATTCTGCTGAGCAATAACTGTTTTCTCTTGAATGCATCTGTGCAAATGAAAACAGTCTGACATGGAAAGAAAAAACTTCACATTATATTAAAATATGGTTAAACCTGAATCTCTGAATGAAAATGTAATCCTGATAAATGTCCCTTCATTTCTTCAGTCTGTAATGCAGAGCGTGTGTGTGTGTGTGTGGTAATGTTTCACCTGATCGTCCAGCGGCACCTCATCACATCTGACTGTAATGGAAATCTGATGCTTTTACGGTTTTGCACTGAGAAAACGCTCAGTAACAATTCCTAATGAAAACAGAGACGTGCAGAGAGCGTTTAACCCTGTTAACACACAACTACAGATCCAGCCAAACCAACAAGAGAAACACACTTGCAAGACAGAAGTCAGAATCAAATCTGTTGTGAATTTGATTAAGCTTATCAGAAAAATATCATGTAGAGAAAATATTAACGGCTGCTAAAAACTTTTGTTGGTTGTAGCAATGAAATATCCAAATTTTGACTTCACTGTAAAAAATACTGTCCTGGATTGAAACAACTCTTTGCATTGGACTAGTTGTGAGGCCGATGTGTTAGACTTCACATTTTCAACTAGCACCAAACACAATTTACCAAGTAAACCCAACTCTCATACTTTGCATGGCAGAAACAGAACTCAACTGAGTGAGCTATTATAATTACTGTAGATGTAAAAGTAACGTTTTTGAGCTTGAAAATTCATATTGATGTTAATAAACAAATCTCAGCACTC